GACACTGGGCAGTACAGGATATTTGATACAGACAGGAGCATTCTTAGTTAGAACTTTAACTGCAGTAAATCATGACATGATTCATGTAGAAAACAAATGTGTAACATTTCTCAGTCTTGGTCTTGAACACTACAGCTATCCTCGTATGTATTTGTTTAAATAGTGCATTGACTGTTTTGGTGTGATTTACATCGACCACCTCCTCAGCAGAGACCCTACTGAACAATGTGAACAATGACAACGAGTTAGGCATCTTTTACACACCCGAAAGCACATTACAAGCAACATCATTCATTTAAACATGTTCCCTGTTAGCTTCCTGCTGTGCTCACGAGCACCACATGCTGTGTAGCACCAGTCCACGTGGCTGCTGTGTCTTTGCAGGCTCTTGTTCGACTTGTTGTGTAGTGGACCAGGGAAGGAGTTCTGTACACGGTTCTGAAGAGCCCAGGAGACAAAGCGGCTGGTTTATGGCTAAACAAGCAGGAAGCGGCTAAGCCTCAGTTCTCCTCTTGACCTCACTGATGAGATCTGCTCTGGATACATCGACCTGTGCACGAACAGCAGAGGGGGGTGGGGGCAGCAAGATAACGTGACGTGTGTGAGCATTTCTTTATGTGTGTAATTACAATGACTTTGTGTGCGTGCATCATACCTCCTCTCTGGTTGCCACCACACGCAGCTTCACCACTCCATCCTTCAGCTCCTGTTCTCCCAGTATGGCCACGAGGGGGATGCCTGCTTCCTCACAGTACTGCAGCTGACTCAGCAGTTTGGGGTTCTTTTTGTACATCACCTCAGCCTACGTGCACACACACACACACACACACACACACACAGATATGCTCTTTACTGTTCCGATGTCATCTCACCAGAACAGACACAGTGGTGTGTTTGTCACAGTTAAATGTTTCAGATCATCAAACAAATTTAAATATTAGACAAAGACGACATAAGTAAACACAAAATGCAGTTTGTAATATTTTTGTCTAACATTAAATTTGTTTGATGATCTGAAACATTCAAGTGTGACAAACAGACAATAAAGGAGTAAATCAGGG